AAGTATTTGAACTATTGTTCAATACTGTTCATGCTTTTGTTATAAAGAAGATCACTTAGCCGGTGGTTGCCCTTAATACTACCATGTGCATTATAAAAATGTGATGTTAAAATTGTAAGAATTAAACGATTATTATTTTTTCGCTTTTCTATATTGGCAATAGAAATAAATAAAAAAAAAGCCCTCCATTTTAAGCTTTTTCTTATAATCTGGTTCACTTAAATTGTAGAAAATTACATTTCCCTAAAAACTTTCTTTATGGTATTATAAAAAGGTTATGATTACAGTTTTTACTCATAAGCATCTACAATTTTTGAGTCTTTGTTATCATTTTGAAGGTGATATAGAAATGTGTTGTATAAACAGATTTCTTTTTATATGCCGCACTCGATATATCGAGATATTACTGTATAAAAAATATTTTACGAAGTTGCGAATATTTTGAGTAAAATTTATGTTTTACAAGGCTAGTTAAAGTTTTGAAATGTGAATGTTACGCACATTATGGTGCTTTACAGCTATTTATATACAGTGACGCGTCCAGGAAAGACCACCTCTATTTACGACCACTTTTGGGAGGCACGGAATTTTTTCCGTAAACTTTGTGTTGTAGAAAATCCTTAGGAGACACCATTAGAACTTCTCCCAGCGTCCGGAAAAACATCTGTATGTCATGCGGAAAAGGTCAAGTAAGGGAATACGAAAAAGTATCAAAACAAAAAAATTCAACGAAACAAATAAGTTGAATAAATTAAATGCAAACTTAAACAAAAAAAAAGTTTTTATTAATTTAAAATAGTTTTATCATTCATAATTTGTAAATTTGCTTTTACACATTATTATAACAGTATATAAATGTTATAATAATATGACAGTATTATAACAGTTATAGACGCTAAATTTCATTCATACATCCGTCTATTCGTGACGCCAACTGAAGTGGCATTTCCGCACCAAGAAAACGACACTGACAAAAATAAAATCGTTTGGGAAAAATCATGCACCTTCGAGAACAATTTTGAAGTCAATGGAGGTAACCTCTGAGAATGACCATTTTACTGTGGAACGGATAGTGGTCGCTCCCGAGAAGTTTCGATGTATTAAGAAAATAGTTTGCAATCAGCACGATTGGATAGTAAAAAAGCTTTGGGAAATATTAAAAGACTGTATTATTTTCTAAAAAGTCTCATAAAAATAGTAGGAAGAGCTTTAAATATCGTATTTAATCCACAGACCAACATTTAATAGGCCTTCAATGAATGTTTATTTTTTCCCATTCACAGAAGTTCTAAAATACTATGGATCCAGGTTGAATTCCTTTGAAAGGAATGAACTGCAGAGCGGTGAATTCCCGGAAATTTGGTATCTGGGTCTGGATGCAACCAAAATGGAAGGCGAAGATGGCGGACCCCACAACAATGGTTATGACGATGATAATGGATCCTACGTAAAGGTGAATAGAAAAATTGCTTATTTTTACCAATGAATTGAGTAAGGCCGGGATAGTCAGCTGGTAGGGTACTGGGCCTATGTCCAAGAGGTCTGCGGGTTTGATCCCCCCCCAAGACTCCCCGTGTCGGAAATGGTGACTGATGCCCATTAAATCTGTCGAGTCGCAAAGTCCTCCATGTTCCCATAACAAATCAATGCCTCTAGGGGTACTGATCCAGGGGTTTCCTTGTCTTCTGGATTGGTTCAAAATTACAAGGAAACGAAGTTGAACATTTGTAGTCGTAAACTCAAAATTGGGTCGACTGTTCAGCGACGAATATAAAATTAATTGAGTAAAAGAGCCGTAGTGGCTCAGGGGATAGAGCGTTCACCTTTCAACGAGGTGAACGCGGTAGACGGATCGAGGGGTTAGAGTATCTTTGGCTTCAGGCTAACCGTGGGAGGATTTCGCGGTTTTCTTCTCCATGTAACGCATATGGGGTTAGTTCTATGAGAGAGTCCTCCACGATGGCAAATTCTTCCCAATACTTGATCCCGGAATTCCTTTGTCTTCTGGTTTCTAGTTCAAAATTACAGGGCTACGGAGTTGAACATTGTTAGTCATAAACTCAAAATTGGGTCGGCTGTTCAACGACGGTTATGAAATAAAATGAATTGAGTAAGGAGAATTCGGGTAGGAAAATATGCATCGATTTTAATCATATCTATTTTTAGACTTATGACCAAATTTTATGGACCACTACTTACTTAATTTACGAAAAATCAATCACGGAATAAATTTTTTGAGTGCCAACAGAACTTCACTTTAATGTGGTTGTAATTAATGTTATTCTGCTGAGATTAACATAGAGTCTATTCTAGTTAACAGATATCAACGGAACCTAGTTTATGGGGAAAAAGCGATGTAAAAAACTAGTTCAAATTCCGGTCACGATGTGCGAGAAAAGGAAACTGAAATACGAGTCAAAAAATTTACTCTAGAATACTATGCATCGATTGATGCTATTTTGTCCCTCTTGTGCCTTGCATATGAAAGAAGGGGAATTAAATTAATGTATTTAAACGGCTATCCATTCAAGATAGTGTCAACCGAACTGTTTTTACTCATTTTAATTTTAGCTCGAGTAATTTTCAAAGTTGGGAAGGGCACTGCTCTCAATTAAAATCAAAAAAAATTTTGCTTATCTATGCTACTTAGAAAAAAGTTCTATTATTCTTAATATATATCCCATTTCTTTTACCCTCTGCAGGTACTCCATGATCATTTATCGTATAGGTATGAAATTCTGGAAGTAATAGGTAAAGGATCTTTTGGTCAAGTCATTCGTGCTCTAGATCATAAAACAGATCAACAAGTAGCTTTAAAGATAATTAGGAATAAGAAAAGGTATTCACTCATTTTGCTTTTGATATAGTAATCACATACTCAATTTACTTTCATCAGTAGTTTTTGTTTAAATCTATCCATAAAGTCTCTGCATATTTAATTTAATTTCAGAATACACCCCCTTCATTTTCTATTCATTTTCTACCGATTTTTTTTTATCGCTATGCTTTTCTTGCCAAGTATTCCATTAATTTAAAGTAATATGTTTTTTCCCCAAGCATTCCATAATAATTTAAAGTTCCATTGAATTGCTTCGGAAAATGAACGAAATGAATAATTTTGAAATTAAATTAAAAGTAAGAGCTACTGTTTTGTGTAGAAATATAATAAAGAAAACCGAAGTATTTCACAAAATTTTTTTCTGGTGATCAATCTTTACTGATAGTTTCATTACTTTCTTGGTAAGCTCTTACTTGACGAACGGTTAAGTCGAGTTGAAAATTTTCGAAATTTCCAAAAGAAATGTTATCTTTAGGAAGAGAAAAAAAGATTGAAAGTTTTTCTAACATCTTATCCTGAAATTAATCAAGAAAGTTAATTTAACTTTTCCCGATTCTTAAAGAAAATCTTGACAGTAGCGTGTGGTAACTTTTTTCTAAATTAAAAATTATAAATAAATAAATATATAAAAAATCACGTTACATTATATTTGTCACCCCTACTAAATACAAAATTAATATAATACTAAATTGAAGACTTTCCGAAACTTTTGAGACTAATATTCGTAATTAATTCGATACAATTTGTTATTTTAATCTATATTTTTAGAGTTCCTTTCTAAAGTAAAGTGCTAAAAGTGTACACATTCTCAAACTAATATTAAAGAGATTAAAACTCAAAAAAGCTTTTCAAATTTATCAAATCACTCATAAAAAAGGCTGGATGAAAGACACTAAAACCGGTTTGATTGCCTAATGGAAATTTAAAGTGTTGTAATAGCCGTTCAACTCTTCTCTTTTTTCTCTGGCACTTAAACGGGTTTTGGTGTATTCCGTCCAGTCTTTTTCAGTGTTTATTTTTTTTTAAATTTTCATTCAAGTTTTTCCTCTCTTCAATTACGGTAGCCATAGCACAGTGAAAAAGTGGAAGAGAAAGAATGAAGAAACAAATTGTTTCTAGCCATTCATATCTTCCAAAATGAATCTGTAAATTAAAGGAAATATGTGCTGAAATTGACTCATTTGATTGAGCAAAAACATTTAAAATATTAACTCGCATTTAAAATTTTAATCCGTATTTACTTGTATATTTCGAATATTGACGTTTTGCGCCATTTTCATAATAGGCGTAGACTGCTTTGACAAAAGTACATCTTCGATGTACTTCACACTAATTCTACGAAGAAACTTCTGTTTCGTATTTTTCCCGCGAATTTCGGCTCTCAACCAATCACATGCTACTAGTCACGTGTCACAACTCTCTATAAGTCGCGTTTAGATATCTGCTTTCTACCTATACTTCAGAGAACAAATTCTGAATATTTTGTGTCGTATCAAACGTGTGACGTGATTTCATATAATTTTAAAAAATTTTTTTCCCTCTTTGTTTCAGGTTTCACCAGCAGGCTCTGGTGGAAGTTAAAATTCTAGAACATTTGTGCAAAAAAGACAGGGATGGGAGTCACCATATGATCAAAATGCTAAATCATTTTTATTTTAGAAATCATCTCTGCATCACATTTGAACTTATGGGGTTAGTATGGATCCATTGAAATGTGTTTGTTCTTCGAAGTTCTGTATTGAGTATGGTTTCAAATTTACCTTTTTTTCTGACTCTATATGGGAGCACCAGAAAGCTCGATTTTTTTGCCGAATCGTTTTGGTAATGATTTTGGCAAAATAGGCAGTAAAGTATAGTTTTATAATACTTGACAAATTCGTTAAATATTGTAAAATTTGGTATTTTTACCATAATTTTGCAATTTTATTGAGCATGGTATAAAAGCCATTTATTCGGTTAAATTTACTCTCAGTTTTGTATTTGTTTACCGTGTAGTAATGAGAACAATAATTTTGAAAACCAGAATTAAACGGTTGCAAGTACAAAAAAATTACCAAATAAATAGCTTAATACTGTATAATTTGATTTTATTAATCAGAACTATGTTTTTTTTTCATGTACGGTACGGTCATGTTTAAGTTAAAATTATGTACGGTAATTTTTCCAGACAAACAGCGAACAAAAGTAGTGACTACAGTAGTTTAGTTACTTGTCGCTCATTAGTATGTACAGTGCGTCAAAAAAAAAGCGGATTACCCTGAATAACTTTTGATCCTAATGATTGGATTTTCACGTTCTGGTACTTAATCTTAATGGCTCGTAGAGTTGATTTCAAATTTTCTAACGATATTTTAAGTTACGAAATCAGTCACTAAAATGAACACTCCCTGAATGAATTCGCCTTTTCTTGGACAGATTCGGATTTCTGAATACCAAAAGCCACAGTCTGCGAAATAGGGTCCCACTAGTTTGCAAACCCCACACCCACACACTCTCCAAAGTTTGGATCTCTTAATGTTAATTTTACTTTTNGGTATAAAAGCCATTTATTCGGTTAAATTTACTCTCAGTTTTGTATTTGTTTACCGTGTAGTAATGAGAACAATAATTTTGAAAACCAGAATTAAACGGTTGCAAGTACAAAAAAATTACCAAATAAATAGCTTAATACTGTATAATTTGATTTTATTAATCAGAACTATGTTTTTTTTTCATGTACGGTACGGTCATGTTTAAGTTAAAATTATGTACGGTAATTTTTCCAGACAAACAACGAACAAAAGTAGTGACTGTTGTAGTTTAGTTACTTGTCGCTCATTAGTATGCACAGTGAGTCAAAAAAAAAAAAAGAAATAACGGATTACCCTGAATAACTTTTGATCCTAATGATCGTATTTTTACGTTCTAGGACTTAATCTTAATGGCTCGTGGAGTTGACTTCAAATATGCTAATTAATAGGTGCAGACGATATTTTAAGTTATGAAATCAGTCACTAAAACGAACATTTCCTGAATGAATATGTCTTTTTTTCGACAGATTCGGATTTCTGAATCCCAAAAAGCCACAATCTGCGAAATAGGGTCCCAATAGTTTGTTTAGGAGAGCACTCCAAAGCTTGAACCTCTTAATGTTAATTTTACTTTTTGCGTATTTCGCTGTATCTCGAGAACTTTTTAAGCGAATTTAAAAAAATTTTCACGCAATTATAAAATTTTTTTATTTAAAGATAATTCCGTGCAAAAAATAACTTTTAATAAATATTTATTATTTTATTTAATAGTGGTTGAACATTTTTTGAGTTGTAAGTTAATAAACTTTCTGCTCCTTTTTAAGGAATATAAATTTGCATGGTAAAATGCAATATTTGAGTAAAATCGGTTGAAAAGTTCCTGGGATATTAAACTTCAAAAGAGTCAGATTTTGCTCAAATTTTGTATTTTGCCATATAAAATTATATTCTATAAAATGATGCAAAAAATTTATACCTTACTATTCAAAATTTTTCGACCATTATTAAATAGAAATAAACAATAAATATTTGCTAAAAACTACTTTTTTAAAGGAATTTATCTTTGGATAAACAAATTTTATAATTAAGAGCAAAAACTCTTCAACTCACTCAAAAATTTCTCGAGATATAATGAAATACGCAAAAAATAAAATTAACAGTACAGGATACTAACTTTAGAGCGCTCTCTTGATCAAACTATTGGGACCCTATTTTCCAGGTTTCGGCAACCCCTTTTATTTTATGGTCAAAAATCTCATTCCGTCAAAAAACGGTATGTTTATTCAGAAAAGGTATGTCATTGTGTCTGATTTTGTAACTTAAATTATTGTTGGCAATTATTAATTAGCATAATTGAAGTTACTCCTTTCAGCCATTAAATTTGAGTCCCAGAACATGAAGATCCGATCATTAAATCAAAAGATATTCAGGGTAGTGCGTTTCTTTTTTTGCACACTGTACATAGGTAATACCTTTTTGATCAGTATAAAGAGGAGGTTTCGTAGCACTGGGAATCAATAATCGTACCAGAAATCAATGCAGAGCATCATTTTTAAAAAGTAAAAAAAAAAAAAACTCTACAATTAATATTCATGCAAGAAATAAATAAAGGAAACAACAATAATTGAACAAAAAAATAAAAAACGAATACTACAACCAATATTTGTGACTCGTAAATTATCAGTAATCAATTAAATTAAAATTAAATGAATATATACATTCATAACTTTTCTGAAACAGCTTTCAACTTGTTTTATGCATTCAGTAGTATCCAAAATAAATATCTAGCGAAAAATAAAGTATCCCCGCCAATGTCAACAAGCATTTTACCACACCATAAATTCGATTTTCCCTTGAAAAGTGAAGAAATCAGCACGATAATGAAGTTGGCTTCATTCCCAAATAGGTCTCTTCCACTTTTAAAAGGTTTCTTCTTCCAATTGATTGCTTCTAAAAATAAAGTTACGAAGCTCTTTTTTTTT